AAGTAAGACCTAAAGCTAAGGACCTTTACCTCGGAGGACAGCTGGAGTTTTGTGCTGAAAAGACTTGGGAGATGATAGTTATTCAGCATTCGTTTTTGTGTGAAAATTACTAGAACCGTTTTGTTTGGATTAATGGTTAGGTCATATTCCCTGCACCATCTCTCCACAATACGGAGAGCTGCTTGTGTCAGGTCGCACACAATGCTTGCTGTCTTTCCAGAGACCAGTATTGTCAGATCATCTGCATAACCGACTTTGTAGAAATGATTAGCGTTTAATTTGCTGATGAGTTCATTAATGACCATATTCCACAGGAGAGGTGAAAGAACCCCACCCTGCGGGCATCCTTTCATGATCTGAATTGTCTGACATTCACCAGCAATCTTTATTGTTCGTGTACTGAGCATGTTTACTATCCAGTCAATCAGTGCCGGTTCAAAATTATGTCTACTTAGGGCACCTTTTATTCTGGAGAAGTGTGTTCTGTCAAAAGCACCTTCTATGTCTATGAAGGAGCCTAGATATATTACTTTGCCTCTTCAATCTTTGTTATTACATGGTGAAGTGCCGATTCTGTCGATTTACCTAAGCTATAGGCGTGTTGTTTTTTGTGTAGCGGTAAGTTAACTAGCGCCGACCCTCTCAACTCCCGTTCACACATCCTCTCCATCGTCATTAGGAGAAAGGATGTGAGACTAATGGGTCTGTAGGATTTAGGGTCTGTATAGTCGTTCTTACCTGGTTTGGGTATGAACGTGACTTTCACTTCCCTCCATCACCTAGGAACACCGTATAGGTTTTGGAGGAATGCATGGCTCTAGAGATATCCTCATACTGTTCCTACACCTCCTCATCGTGATGTGCCGAGGTTGGTGCATAAACCTGTATGACCTTCATCGAATACCGTTTGGTGATTCTGAGTACCAGGTACGCAATCCTCGTCGACACACTCCCAATCATTACAATGTTGTTGACGAGGGACTTGTGGACGATAAGTCCGACACCTCCTTGGGACAGATGGACAGATAGGTTCCCGGAAGTAGAACAAGTTGCCAGATTCAAGGATTACAGTGTCCTCACCCTCTCTTCGGACCTCGCATAATCCTCTAATATGCCAGCGCCACTTGTCTACCTCTTCTTCCCGCTCCAGGATCTTCTCGTCAGTTCTCAGGGTGCGTGTGTTATATGCATGTTGCCAGGTCGAGTCGTCGTAGGTGGCTACCGAATCTCCACCGGAGATTCTTAGCACCCGCTGCCCCGCCGTTACCATGGTCGCCAACATAGCCAGGAATAGCGAGGCCGCCGTGGACTGGGGGCCGGTTGTTTGTGTCGTTGCTCATGGGGGCATGTTTGCCATAGTTGCCACGCTTGGCGAGCTGTTTAGCTTGCGAGATGCTGATGACCATCTCCTGCCCGCTTCCCTCCGTCGCCTCTTACAACACCCATGGAAATATATGGTGTAGTGGATATTCTCAACTGCCACTACACGGCAATTCTCTCTTGTGTAATATAATTCATTTACGATATTTAACATATACCATAAGGTAGTTTAAAGTCTCAGAAATTTATATTTTATAGTAATAATTATTATTAATATTTATATTATATAGCAATTTTAATTTATATTTAAATTATATGGCAATTTTAATTTATATTTAAATTATTATGTATACGGGGGGATAAGTCGCTCGCGTCCGTAGGCTTCGACCACCAAATCCTAGGCCCACCCTAAACGTTTCCCCCGGGTGGTGCTAAAAGAGCGACAAAGCCGAAAGAACAGACTCGGCTACTCGCCGTGTGGTAGCGGCGTAAAATATGCCACGCCCTAGTTTTCGCACCATGAGGCAAAAAGTAAAAAAAATGGCCCCGAGTTCCCGGCGCCCCTTTAATGGGGCAGGGGTGCGAAGAATCTCCGGGAGGAAAACCGGCGACGAGGTTCGCCACCCGTCACGTTCTGTCTCCCAGAGAGGCGAAAAGTGGAGAGGCCCGTCTGGCTATGTTGAATGTATGTGGGGCAATGAATGATAAAATGGATGAAATATGCGATATGATGTATGATAGAGGAATAGATGTATTATGTGTAAATGAGACGAAAAGGAAGGGGAAGGATGTCACTGCACATGGCATGTATACCGCATACTAGTCTGGTGTAGACGAGATCGAGCGGGCATGCCAGGGAGTAGGTATCATCCTTTCAGAACGAATGGGCCAATGTGTGAAAGAGTATGAATGTGTAAGCCCAAGACTGCTATGGATACGAATGAAAGTGGGCTTAAAGAAGTTGTTTGTGTTAGGGGTCTACGCCCAGACACGTCTAAGCCCACTTATATCCGGGAGCAGTTTCGGGAAATGGTAAGGATGGTGTTAATTAAGTGTAAGGGAAATGAAAATATTATTATGCTAGGAGATTTTAATGGAAGGGTTGGGGTGAGGAGGCTTGGTTATGAAAGGATATTGGGAACGTTTGGTGATGAAAGTATAAATGAGAATGGTGAAAGCCTCCTCACCATATGTGTGGAAAGGAATCTTTTTGTGACGAACGCTTTCTTTCGTCATAAGAAGATTCACATGTATACTTGGGAAAGAGGTGATGATAGAAGCATGATAGATTTCATAACTGTGGATGAAAGAATGAGGAGCGCAGTGGTGGATAGAATGGTTTACGGGGGGTCCAACGTAGGGACGGACCACTACCTGGTCTTATGCCGAATTAGGGGTTTATTCAGACGTTGGCGGCATAGGACATCTGTGTCTACCACTGCGTTACAGCGTATAAGAATTGAGAGGTTACAAGATGAAGATGTGAAAGACAAGTACAAATGCAGACTGAGAGAAAATATAAGTAATTTGGATGAGTTGTGTGTGAATGAGTTAGACTTGGAGAATGTGTGGCATAATGTTAAGAAAGGTTTAGTGGATGCAGCTACCGAAGTATGTGGTGTTAGTAAGAGAACGAATGAAAGGAAAGACAATACGTTATGGTGGGATGATGAGGTACGTATGGAAGTTGAAGCAAAGAAGAGAGCATGGCTAGATTTACTAGCGACCAAAGCTGGTAACTCTGGCAGTAAGAATGATGAGAATGAAAGAAAAAAGGCAGAGTTTAAACGTTTAAATAAGAGAGTAAAAGAATTAGTTGAAAGGAAAAAGCAAGAAAGAACGGATAGGAATGATAGAAGAATATTGGATAACTTCCAGGCAAATATTAAAATGTTCTGGAAACTCGTAAGAAATACCAGGGGACTTTCAAAACAGCCTAGATTGAATGCGATACGAGACGAGAATGGCTGTATCCTGAATAATGAAGTGTTGAGTGTAAAGAGATGGAAGGAATATTTTGAAAGCGAATTTACGAGTGAGGAGAAGTGTGAACTAAATGAAATAGAAATTCCGAAAGAAGATGAAAGAGGTAGGGAGATAAGTATAGATGAAATAATGAAAGCAATGAAAAGCATGAAAGTAGGTAAGGCAGCCGGATATGATAGAGTTTCACTCGAAATGCTAAGGGCTGGAGAGGACGTGGTGGGAGGCCTGCTGTACACCTTGTTTAATTTATGTTGGGAACTAAAGCGGGTACCGGGAGACTGGTGCAAAGCCGTGATAGTCCCAATATATAAGGGAAAAGGGTCACAGCAGGACTGTAAAAACTACCGTGGTATCAGTCTTCTTAGCATTGTGGGAAAACTGTATGCTAAGGTATTAATTGAAAGAGTTATGAAAGAAACTGATGAAAAAATTTGGGATGTGCAAGCGGGATTTAGAAAGGGAATGGGGTGTACAGATCAAGTCTTTTCCATGCGCATGATCGCGGAGAAGTTTTTGGCGAAAAACCAAAAGTTTTTTGTGCGTTCATGGACTTGGAAAAGGCTTATGACAGAGTGGACAGGGATGTGTTATGGCAAACGCTGAACGCATTTAGGTTGAGCGCTGGTTTGATACAGGCATTAAAGTCTCTGTATAGGGACTCGAGTGCTTGTGTTAGAATCAATGGGGTCTACTCGGACTGGTTTGGCATCCATAAAGGTGTCAGACAGGGCTATGTAGCTTCCCCGTGGCTGTTCAACCTATTTATGGACAGCTGTTTGGAAAATTTGAAAGTTGAAGAATGCGGGTTAAGAATGGGTGAGTTAACCATCAAATGCCTTTTGTACGCCGATGATCAAGTCATACTTGCGTCGTCGGCGGCCGAGTTGCAAATGATGGTTACATTAATGAACAGGTCATTAAAAGAAAGGTGAATGAAAGTGAACGCAAGTAAGACGAAAGTGATGGTTTTTGAAAGAGATGAAAGCAAAACGGTATGTGAAATAAGAATAGAAGGAGAGTTAATTGAGCAAGTGGATGAGTTCGTATATTTGGGATGTGTATGGACGAGTGAATGCAGGAAATAAAGTAAATGGGGCTCTACACTCTATTGTGAAAAGTCAGAATGTGTCAAAAAAGGCACGTATGGCAATTCACAGTGCTGTATTAGTCCCTACTTTAACGTATGGTAGTGAAAGTTGGGTGTGGCAGAAGAAACACGAGAGTAGAATAAATGCAGTAGAAATGCGGTCGCTAAGGAGTATGTTAGGGCTGAATCTGAGTGACAGGGTGAGAAACTGTGTGATAAAAGAAGAGTGTGGTTTGCAAGATGATGCGGTGACCAGGATTAAGAAAGGAATGCTTCGGTGGTTTGGTCATGTAGAAAGAATGAATGCGGAAAGACTGACAAAGCAAATATATGTTGCAGAAGTGAATGGAAGAGTCGGAAAGGGACGTCCTAGGCGGAAGTTTGTCGACCAAATTGGCGATATACTAAAAATGGGCCAAATTAAGAGTACCCTTAACCGACGAGCATGCATGCGTAGGTATATGGATGTGGAAGAGGCGAGAAAGGTATGTCAAGATCGTGCTAAATGGAAGTCTGTAGTCTCTGCCTACCCCTCTGGGTGACAGGCGTGAGTGTTTATGTATGTATGTAATGTATTTAAATTATATTTACTTAAACAAGTCGTCACCTGTATCGCCTGGATGCAGCACTTCTACTTTCTAGGTAATGTTTCGAAGGAGACCCTCTTCCCAATGTTTGAGTATTGTTATTATTTTCTATTATCACACAGTCAACGTCAGTTAGATTAGAGCTATTCTGGATTTCTCTTGATAATGTTTGTGTATTAGCGTCAGTTTTGTTTACTTCAATGTTTTTATTATTTACATTATGTTGTTTAGATTTATTATTAGACTCTTTTCTCGGTTTTCTTTTTACTGCCTTATAATTATCTGGCTTTTTTAGTTTCACAGTATTTATTGGCACAACAGAAACTTTTGACATAGCACTTTGCTGCAAGATTGTATTTACAGGGCTAATTATTGTAACAGGTATCAATGTACCAGTAGAAATAGGTAATATATTTTGTACAGTTTGGACATTTTGTACACTCGACAGTCTTTGAAAGATGGGAGGTTTAAAATGTAACTTATCTTTGACTTTGTTAGTTAACACTTTTAAGTTTCTCTTTAGTATCTGTTTGTACTGTTTTTTCAGTTGTTGCGTCATCTTCAACGGCTTTCATTCGTACACGCTTACCATTTGGTAGTTTTATGATCACTTCATAATCGTTGTCCTTTGGATCTTCTAAATTAGGTTTGATTTCGTTATCATTTAATTGGTTCTTAATATTTACAACAGTTTTAGGCTTATCTACTACAGAGCTACCGGTTTTGTTAGCATCATCATAGTTTCTTTTAAGAGTTTTATGTAATTGTTCTTTATCCTTATTAACTGTTGAATCGGTGTGACATGCATCTGAAGTAAGACTATCCACTACAAAATCTAACGACTTCTGACTCATTATAGGCGGAATTTTTCCTTGTGATACGTGTAACTTATTTGTATCTGTTAGCAAAACATCTTTTGTCACTACATTAGTCGCGTCTTTGATAACTGAATCCGTGTACGATATCATTGTCACAGGAACTTGTGTATTTTTTGAGTTTTCTATATTAACAACACTACCATCTTTTCTAATTTCGACATTACTGTGTATTTTTATGATATTATTAGTGTAAGACACTGAAGTTTCGTTAACACCATCTTTATTTCGGGCTGTCTCTTCATGTCTAACTATGGAAACATCATCTGTTGTTGTGACTCTGTCTAATACATCCTGCTTGCCGACCACTCTGCTTATTGTTGTAACTTCATTTGTTAATTTTGATATTGTTGTAGTTTCGTATTCTTTTACTGCTCCGGATTCGTCGCTAGATGATCTGTAACAAATGTAAACAATAATTCATTTTATATTTCAAGGAGGTTCTCAATCGAATTATAATATGCTCTGATTTTAAGGCTTCTTTTTTTATAAATTAGATAATATCTCAAAGGTGGAAAAATAAGGATCCAATTTTTAATGTGTGTATCTATTTAGACGACGAAGAAGTTGCTTGCTACCTTAAGGTTACGATATTGCTTACTGAACGTAAAGGATCTAAAAATTAAAAACTGATTTCAGAGCTAAAAAGAATTAATAAATCCATGTATTCGTCCAATTTATATTCTTCTGTGCACTGTCTTAAATGTTTTTTTTCTTTTTTGTTTTTTGAAGTAGGTTTTCACTTTATATTTTTTCATAATAAATTATTAGAATATTATTATCTTTAATAAATATTGTATGTTAATTAATCATATATAAATATACTTAAACTCTAATATATATGATATTTTTTGATAAATATATATGAAATAAGCCACATATAGTACCCGCAAAAAGGCTTGCTACTATAAAAAATTGCTTATATTATGTTTTATACGATCTATCATTGTCACAGACATTCAAAATATTATAACCTCTGAATTTTATAATCAAATTGATTAAATCTAAAAAAAAAAAAAAAGTATACACTTTACAAACTTTGAACAAAAATGTTACAGATGGCATTATCACCATTGCATACTATAAGCCTTAGAACCTGAAATTATACTTCTTATCTTTTAGAATAGTGATTCTTAACAACAATGGACCACTGAATTTACTGAATTATCCACAGACGCCCTAACTTTTAGACGTTATAAATTAGATTAAGATTTATTTTCAAATTTGTTCTTTAAACGCATGATGCAAAATTGTGTTACATTATTGTGCGGCCCTTATTTTAACTCTCATCATTTCCAAAAAATTATATTTTTTATATGTGTGAGAATGATTGTATGATGCTTTTGCGAATCGTTTTGGATGTCCTCTGGGAAAACCGTTGGTCTACGGACCACTGGTTACAAACAACTGCTTTGAACTGTAACACAACAGTAATCGCACTGTTGCTTGGCGGCAATAACAGATAAGATGTTTATTGAGAGAGATTGTAATATTACTGGATTGGATGGATGGATGGATTCGAATCCCAGCCAGAACTAATCCGTGCAAAGCGAAAGTAGTTGGTTTTTGGCTCTGATTGAATTATGATTGTCTCTTTGACTTGATTGGGCCGCGCATGCCTAGTAGTGTAACTCACGAGCAGGGCAATGACTCGGAAGTGGTCCCTAGACACTGGGAGGATGCTGGGGTAATAGGTGATACCTCCGGGATATGTCAGTAGTCAAGCAAAGCGATTGAGTTTCCTCGCTTGCGTTCCGAACGGAGGTCTTAAGACCCTTCTTATACGCTGATGGTGACCGCCGTGGGATTTTAGCCTGTAGAAGTCCGGCATAACCTTCTCGTTATTTTCGCGGAAGGTGTCCATGAGGATATTCACACGATAAAAAAAGAAGGTTGTCTCCATGTATTTAGTTAAAGTTCCTTTGTGTGATTGGTAATGCGTAAATCAGGCTTGAAAATACATTTTAGGAAAGTGCTAAATTCGGCCATTCCATTAGCATAACTCAAACTATTAACATATATTGGTGTAAAGTCACAGTGGTGAATCATGGCATTGATTTTTAGTAGATAATAGCTACATACATACACAAAGTAAAAATAGGTTCAACTGTTCTTATTATATGTGCGAATGAACAGATAAATAGACAGATACCTAAAACAAATTAACAGTCAAAATAGTCCATAACCAAATAGCCTCATCTTATTATGACATTAAAATGAACTCCTTAGAAAAAAAAAACATCCATAAAAACTGTTATGTGTATGGTTCTGGCCTCAAAGTTATTATTTAAGAGTTTCTACCATTTTCTTTTAAAGAATAAGTGTCACAAACGGGCCCACAACCTGCCTGATAGTGTGACCCATAGATATCTACACTATCCTCATTTAAGAATCGAATTTAAACGCGTTGTTGTGCACTCCTGAAGACTAAGATGAAATGCATCATTTCATCAGAATTCTGTGTTCAATGCTGATACATTTACACAATATAACAAAACTAAATATCAAACATCAAAATGAAACCAACTACAATATCCACCAACTGCACAATTGCACTGCTTAATAAATACACACCTATGACCATAGGTGTATATTTATTAAGCTTTGAAAGGAATAATCATGAGCTACTGGATGGAAAATATTTCAACATAGACATTTTTTTAAAAAATAAGGGTAACAAACGAGCACACAGTCCACCTGATGGTAAGGGGATGCTGTGGCCCATAGACATCTACATTTATCCTCAATTAAGAATCAAAATGCAGATGCATTGTCACCCCTGAGGACTAAGATGGAATGCGTAGTTTCCAGCAAAAAAGGGTCTCTGGATCTCTACACTCACCATATGAAACACTTATATATATTAAGCTGCTATTTTACGCTGGTATTCTGTGAGAGTGTAGGCCTTCCTCGGTCAAGCCGACCTGTTCATGCTGCAACCATAATATAGCTGCAGCGTGGCTCTACCACAAATATGATGTATACATATGCTTGTAATAATTGGGTATTCAAAATTAGTATTAATAAGGCTTTATTAAAAATAGTATTAATAATGTTATACATCAACAATTTCTTAAATATAACAGTACTATAAGGCCTGTCACATTTATGAAATTATATGAGCACTTCAAGTATGAAAGATAAAGAAGACAGGAAGAGTCAGAAAGGGTCCGCTGGTCTCTGTTGCCCTGTGTTATAATGTCCAATATAATACACTATACAATACAGGCTAAGATTATTACAAATAAATAGTACACAGCACAACATCATTTTACCTGGGTTATCTATATTTATTTTTACTTTGTATAAGGATAACAAGCTAGCACACAGAACAACTGATCGTTAGTGGATACTGTGACCCATAGAAAACTACATCTACCCTCAAATCAGAATCAATGCATTGTCACTCTTGAGGACTAAGGTGTATGCCTCGTAACCAGCAAAAACAATCTCCAGTACTCTACACTCACCATATGAAATACAGCATGATTCTGCTGTTTTAAAGCTAGTATTCTGTAAGAAAAGGTTACTTGTCACATGACGAACAAACAATGGTTTTGATATTATAAAAGCTAAGTGTAATTTAAATTTTACAGAAAATGTTTTACCACATATCCAAAAATACTGATTAGATAAATAATAGCAATATGCTTAAGTAATACAATCTTTTACCTGCTAATTTTAATATTCCTCTGATTATTGGTAGTGCTAAATAATGCACAGTCTCCAGAGTCTATGATTGGGAACACTAAATGTGGGGTATGTAGAACATCATCTGAAGTTGCCACATTAGATCCTTCCAGTGATGAAATTCCATGCCTAGAATAATAAGATTAAAAAGTTTCAGTTAGAACTAAGTAGAATGGACTGAATATATTAAGTCAATGATTGGGAACCTTTACTTATAATTGATCACACAAAAATTATAGATTAATATATCATATTCATCAAGCTTTAAGAAATTCCTTAATTTTGACGAAACACGTGTTTTACGACTTAACCTGTCGGATGTTTTCTTTTATGCAACTGTGTGGTTTCATTGAATATTTTTTCTAGTTTTAACTTTTTTGGGCTTTGCGTATTGGCATGCGAAGATTGTGACACTAACATTCTCTGAATGCGAAAGATTTTCACTACTATACTATTCAAAGTCAAATAATGTTTCTTTTTTATAAAACTGATTGACAAACAAACGTACAAGCCACCAGATGGTAAGTGTCTACTACAGCCCATGAACACCTGCAACCAAATTTAAGCAAAGGCAGCTACAAATACATTTTCACCGCTGACAACTAAGATAAATTACCTCACTGCCTGTAATTAAAGCCAGGCCAGTCTGTAAATATTGGACCCTTCAGACCAGAACACAGCAGTGCAAGTACTGCTATTTGACAGCAGAAATAGGTAGGTGGTACCTAAAGAGATTGTTACATATGGGTGGGGTGATATATTGGTGATTGTAATGATTTCTTATATTTACGCGAACACTACACATTGATTAAAACTACTTTTACGGATTTTGTCACTTTAAATTTTTAGTTCCCGACGTGATGCATCGGAATGTTGACGTGAAGTATCAACGTTCCAGGAAGTCTGCAGTTTGTGATCACATCTTAGGCGGTCCCAACCATTACATCAGATTTGATAGACAACAAATCCTCGCGAAAGACCATCGATTCCTACCAAGGATGATACGTGAGGCTATTCAAATTAAAAAACATCCTATTTCAATAGAGAAGGAGGCTGGGTACGACCACCTGCTTGTGACCCTGTAATTAATAAAATTAAACCCAAGCATACCACTGCTATACTTCAAGACAGAATAAGTTCGGACCATAAACAATAATTAAAAAGCTGAAGGTACTCCAGGTTAACATTGACATTGGGACGTCAGTCACCTCAGTCCCCCATGACCATGGGTGCTGGAAAGCACCCGAAACGTCGGGAAATTAAAATCAATTAAATATTAAATGTGATAAAATCCATAAAAGTAGTTTTAATCAATATTGGTGATTGATAAAGATCTATCAAAAAGGATTTGTTTTGGATCACAGATGGTGTTATAATCATAACAAAACATTTCAAGGAGACCTGATTAGAGGTCTTATCTCTCCATAACTGTTTTAAATGATACAGTGATAATTATATTAATAATTTAACAAAAATCTTCCTACAAGAATCTACTTACTTTGTTTCCATCGCCCGTTTAAACCCTTCATCAAATGGATTGACATTTTGCAAGTCTTGAAAGAGCCCAACTTCCTCACAATTTCTAATGAAGCGTGTAGGTGTTGGAGTCTGATCAGCTAATGAAAAATAAGAAAAATTTACTTTGTTAAAGAACATAATTTAAATATTATAGTCAGAAGGTTACATTTTTGATTAAATTTAAATAATTTAAATATTTGGGCATATTTTTAGGTTTTTTTTTGTTTTTACAAAAAGTAGTAGCTATGACTTGAAATTACACTTGGTACCCAAAAATTGATAATTTGAATTTAAATTTAGAATTTTCAGGTTCGCTGACAATTTAGCCATGCAATCCTATGAAGGAGTTTTGACTATCATTTACTATTAAAATGGGAGGGAAAGAAGCAGAGGGGGTTCTCCTGCCACACCCTCCTCTTCAGAAAATTTCATAATTTTTACCGATCTGAAGCAAGGTACAAGTTTTTTTTGGATTTGATGAGCGAGATGGGAAGAGGAACCCCTGCCATAACCCCCTCAAAAATTAAAAAAAAACATTTATTTGACATCATATATTATATTTAAATAACAAAGTTAAAAAAGAAATACCTATATGATGTCAAATTGGGCCTGCAGTACTAAGTGTGCTACAGCACTGATTTTTAAATGGAGCACAGGATATAACAAAACACATAATTATACATTAAATATTTACAAAAACAAACATTTAAAAATGTACTACATTTTTGTGTTTTAAACTTTATTAAAAAAAGAAGCCATTTGTACCTTATTATCTTTTATTTAAATTGCAGTCAAAACTAGTTGTGAGCAAATCTGTAGTCAAAAGTAATTTATAACTGGCCGAACATGATTTTAGGAAAAATTCTCGCCTGGCAGCAAGAATGATGATTTCGCTGTACCCCAACCTTTTGTTAATATTACTATTCCCAAGAGGATCAAGTAGATGTCTCTGATCTAGTTATGCTAGCTTATAAAGACCTAAAATTAACTAGCAATAAGCATTTTGTAAAATATCAAACACTTTTTACCAAGAATGCCATTCTGGTCAAAAATGATTTTAACTGCCAGTATTAGTCAAATTTACTTTTAAAGAATATTTTTCTGTAAAAATCGCATTGAACTAATATTTTTTGAGTCAAAACTAATTTTGCAACTTATTTTATCAAAAATACTTTTGACCGTTTTCATGTGTCAAAATTAGTTTTGACTGGGAAATAATTGATCAGGAAACAGTAGTAATGCAATATTAGATATTTTTAGCTTTAACTGCAAAGTATGTAAATTAGAATATTTAAATCTTATTCTTATATAATCCCAACACAACTTGCATAAGTAAACTGCAACCTGTGAAATGTGTATACTTATGTCAAATAAGTATGGATATTGAAAAAGAAATTGTAATTTTGTTCTTAAAAACTACAAGTTTCAGAGTGTAAATAAATAAAAATGTAGATCTTTCAGACAGTAGTCACTTTAAGTGCTAACTTTGGGTAGATAATCTAAACTTTATCCAAATCTTCAAATTAATCCTTGTTATAAAGTTGAATGCAACAAGCCAAAACACACTATTATTTTTATACAATCAAACTAAGATTTGCAGAGAGCAACAAAAGGATTAAACTAGCATATAAATGAAAAAAATATTCGAAATAACTTGTAATAAAAATAACTTGTATATATGATGTACCAACAAATGCTGCCTTTTGCTCCAAACCAAGTTGCAATACCATATCATGTTTTTTCGTATGTACATGGAGATGATCTTCATTTGTAAACGTCATCCCACAGTCCGGCATAGTACAAGCAAAGGGCTTTTCAGGCTCCATTGCATTTAAAGTGTACTAATATTCTTTTGTAAAAATTCACAAAATAAAGCAGTTAAACCTCCTGTTATCATTAAAACATCAAGGTATTTTGTCACAATATCATTTCAAAACCACATTACTTATAAATGTATTTGTTCTATTTATCGCACTAAGACTGAAGATATTTTGTAGACATTATCTTATTTTTATTTCAACTATACAAATTAAACGAAAACTGCAGGAAAATTTATAGCTAAAACAGGTCGAGTCGAGTTTCCCTTCCTTGCCACCTTGTGACATGTGTCACTGCATGATTCGTTCGTTTGAGCTGGAACACTTAAAAGTATTGATGGATCATTCATTTGTTTTTGAATGTACCAGTACAACCAATCACAAACAATTGACGGTACCTTTTTAACCGGCGATTTGTTTGAATTGTGAATGAGCCGCAAACCGACCGAATCCCGAAAGATCTGAATGAATTGTTTTAATGTAGGGTGTACCAGTGCAGTATAATCAGTGCACGCATTCGGAAATGTTGCCAAGTTAGGCGATATTTAGCTATTTAGGCTAGTTTTAAAGTAATCGGAGCGACCAAGATTGTGATTTTCTACTAGTCTCCGAGTAGGCTATCTAAGAAAGAAGGCGATTGTAAAGGATATTTATTCTATAACCCTTTTATTAGAAAATAATAAAATGTAGATATTGCAACTGACTTCTTAAGTATTTTTTAATTCCTTTGTAGTCTACTTCTTATGCTTACAATCCTTATTACTTCTGATGAATAATATAACACTAAAGGTACCTAACATAAGTTTAAATTAAAGCATTTTCTTAAAATATTTCTTATAAAATTGGGTGACTTTTTAAAACTTTCATCTTTTATTCTGCGTCAAATTTTTGGCGACTTGGATTCGGCTAGAATAGGTAACACTACACTATTCGTACAGAGCAAGGAAAAAGGAAACAGAATTACAGATACAGAACATAGGTACTATTACTAAATAGTAAATACTAACTAATCTCTGGCGAGAGGTATAAAGCTATAAAGATGAAATAAACAACGAATCGAAATACGATACGTCAATCAAACAAATTAAATCGGAATCAAAGTTAGATATCTGTATTCTGGATTCCCCGGTGTGGTCTCTGTGATGATCTGACGATGAAGTGTACTCGTAGATGGAGGATAGGATTAATTTAACGTTCTTTTATTATTGTGCAAGATTGAAGTAGCTCAGTTCAGAGAAGCTGCAAAGTGCAATGCAAACGTGGAAAGTTCTTTATGTGTCATAAGAAAGCACTTTATTTTTATCAAGTAGCTACACCTGCACTGATAATAAAAAATATTGTAGAGAAAGTGATAGAGAAGGTAATAAGGACCGGATTAATTCCTGTGGCTCTAGGTCTGGTATTAGATCAGAGAACATCATTCCAATCAGCCATTAAGTTGAAGGATGAAAGAAGATTCTAGAAAAAAATATTGGCCAAGGAAAATACTGGTAAGATAATTAAGTAAATGAAATTAAACTTTCAGTGTTAAAATTAGCATAACGACGATGAAGTGACAAGAACTCCTAACTGACATTTTTGCGATTTTACTTTTTTTTCGTAGATAAACTTTAAATAATTGTTTGCGTGAGCATGCAATAGCAGCTAACTTTATATCTTATTTTTTAACCAGTTATTAATAACTGACAATAACTATTAAGCAAATGTGCATCAAATTTTCTGACAATATCATCTAAGAAACTAATATCAATAACTACTAAATAACCCTAAAGAAATTATTTCTGTCAAGACCTCCTATCTTCACTCCTGCTAGATACGTCCTTACTTTCACGCAGCTATCATGAGATATTCGCCTACCTTTTTTCTTCTGTCATTTCGTTTGAATTCGGAGCAAGTTGCAACGTGAAAGTTTGCGGGAAGAGTGTTTTTGTTGTTTTTAATGTAAATAGTGGGATTTTTGTTATACCAGGTTATTATTTTTAGCTTAAACTAATGCTCATACAGTTAAAACTTAAACAGAAGTGTTTTCTTCTTTTTTTTGTAATTGTTAAGGTTAATGAATACGTTTTTCAAATACCTAAGTAGGTATTTTAAAGCAAAGGAAGCTATCAACGCCAACATCAATGTTTTAAGTCCACCGGAAATCTGTAGCTTTGAACCCACAGAAATCCTTGACAATAATGATTACGAATCTACTGCTTTATATTCAAGCACTCGTCGTCGTCTCGTAGTAAGGTCTTGGTCATTATCTGATTTAACGCATGATACAAACAATATGATTAGTTCCCTAAAAAAAGTCGCCATCGGTTCCAGCGTTGTTGGACATTACAAGTAATCTTGATTTATTGATTGCGTTTAACAAACCGGATCAGATCGAATCTACATCAGATGATGTTTACCAAATTCCTGAAGAAAGAAATTTTGCTGAAGTATTGGTGACTGGGGACCAACAAGATTATGGAGATATGGAAGAAGGTCGAAAACGTCGTCACAATGCTGACCCAAAATCTTGGAAAAGGAACAAGGCTTTTTTGAAGCGAATGCGAGGTGAAGAGTATTTAGGATATTCTAAACCAAAAGATAGGAAGTTCCAACAAGATATTGTAAGACAAGCAAGACGGCTAAGACCAACTTGCGTCTCCAATTTTTGTAAGAAGAGTAAGGTAAGAGGCTGTGATAGGTTCACTGAGGATTGTCGAAAGGATATACATAGCAATTTTTGGAATAAAATGACCTGGGATCAACGAAGAGTTTACATTACGGGATTGGTGACACGATCTAGTACATCTCGGAAAACTAAATCGGCTAGTGAACTATCTAGGCGGGAGGGAACTCTATCATATTTTTTGCCGATTGAAAAAGATTGTTCAAATAAAGTACATGTATGTAAACAAATGTTTTTAAACACCTTATCACTTTTATCGTTCACTGTTCAAGCATGGGTAAAAAAGAGTGAGTTTGGCATGACTTCAAACCATGATGCAATATACGTTTCTAAAACAAAGACTCAAAGAGCAGAAGTAGAAACGAAACTTTCAATTTTAAACAATTTTTTTACAAGTTTGCCAAAATTGCCGTCGCATTACGCAAGAAAAGAACAGCTAAACGCTTCATAGAACCAATCTATCGTTCTCTTTCCGACTTATACAAAACGTATAAGAAATATTGCACTGAAACTTGTCAACCTTATGTTAGTAGATTTACATTTGAAAAGAATTTTCATGACAAAAATTTGTCACTATTTACGCTTAAAAAGGACATGTGTGACACCTGTTCAAGTTACAATTCCGGTAATTTAAATGAATCAGATTACCAAATACATATGTTTAAGAAAAACAGAGCTAGACAAGAAAAAGAAGAGGACAAGAAAAAAGCAGCTGCTGGAGAATTTATACTTTTGACTGTGGATTTAGAGGCTGTGAAGGTTTGTCCTTACCTTACTGCTAGTGCTTTGTATTTCAAGACAAAGTTAACGTGCCATAATTTCACTGTTTTTAATTTAGTAACCAAGCACTGCAGTTGTTATTGGTTCGACGAAACTTCTGCTGATTTAACGTCTAGCACTTTTGCGACGTTTTTTATTGATTATTTAGAAAGACATTGTATTCCACATCAGTTACCAATGTTATTTACTCCGACGGGTGCACATATTAGAATCGTAATTGTGTGCTGGCAAATGCACTGCTCCTTTTGAGCAAGAAACATAACGTAATCATAACGCAAAAATTGTTAGAACCAGGAGTGTGACTCGGTTCACAGTACTATTGAGCGAAAACTCAAAAATCGGGAAATAAATTTGCCTAGTGATTATGTTACGATTACTAAAGAGGCACGAAGCACTAACCCTTATGAAGCAATTAATGTAGATCATGAATTTGTTAAAGATTATGCCCGACCTGAAAATATGCTTTATAAAAGTATTCGACCAGGCCGCAAAGCTCGCGATCCACAGGTTGTAGATAGAGTAATAAAGTACAATACTATGACAATCTAAGTTAAACTGGGTTTTGACGAACAGTTGATTCCTTTAACGCACAGACCTAAGTTACTAGCTTCGGAAGCAATCTATCCTCCACTACAACCTAACAAAATTCCAATTACTGTAATGAAGTACAACCACCTGCAACAACTAAAAGCAGTATTACCTAAAGATTGCCATAATTTTTATGACACTTTGCCATTTGTTTGAACCATTTGGTTCATTTAATAAAACAAAATTTTTGAGACAACATAGTTGTCCCAACATCATCTTCCTGCCCTTGTCAGATTTTATTTGCGGTCGGCATAACATGTTTTTTTCTTCCATTGTATTTGTTCCAATAATCGTAATTATAAACCGATTATATTCTGTTTTCTTTTAATTAAGTCTCAAAAGCAATGTAGCCATTTTTATGTTGTATCAGATATTTGATTGTAATAATTAATATGACAATGTTATTTTCTAACAATCTGAAACATTTTTGAAGTTAATTAAAAATTATTCTATGAAAATCATGCCTTTTCTTTAAAATATTATAGAAATTACTTACTAGAAATATCTTCTATCTTTGCTATTATAATGTATATTTTCAAAGCCTGGACTGCAATATCACCTATCTACGTCTAAATCAAAAAGTTGATTGTATATACACTAGTCGCACATAGCCCCCTATACCCGCTTCTTATTTAATATATATCCAATAATAGTATTTTTCATACCTTGCGTTTAAAATAAATAAAAAGTTTTTTTCGTTTCCTGTAAAATCATGTTCTGGTAGATAAAGGTTCTTGTCACTTCATCGTCGATAAGTGTATTTTTATTATTTTTATTGCTTGTTAACCAATACAAAAAGTCTGTTTTCATTTTAGATGACACAATCATAATAAAAGGCTAAAAGATTTAAGATTATATTTGATCCTCAAATCTTCTGAGAATAAGAAATTATTTTCTTGAGAAAATACTATATTAAATCTAAAAATGATATGACATTTAGATGTTTGTTTATCTGAATGTTAACATGCAGTAAAAT